TGTCATAGATACTGGCAGGAGATGGAACATACTTCTGGAAGAATCTTTAAAGGAATTGGTTGAAATGGCTTCCGCTCCAAATCACTCTGTTTCCGCCTTCAAAAGACCCTGAGCCAGGCGTGTCAACCCTACGTTGTTACTAGTAACAACGGGGGGGTGTCGTAACCTTGGTTGAGTTTGTAGGAGGGGGGGGGGGTCGTATAGGTTGGGAGTTGGGAGCGCGCGGGAGAAAAAATTCGCCGTTTTCAGTGCGTAAAAAAGCGGGTAAAAGTAAGTAAAAGTAAGAGTAAAATGGTGGAAATTTAGGGGTTTAGGTGAATTTTTACTGTTCAGAGATGCACAAAGAGAATGAAGAACCTCTCGCTTTGGTGCGGGTTCTAGTCCCGCCTGGGGCGAAAGTTTTGTTCACAACCCAGCATTCTTGTGAAACATTCGCTCGACGGCATTTTTGGGAGGAAAAAGTGGGCAGAGTTTGGTGAGTTGAGTGTATCAGGAATATAAGTCCTTATAGATACGATGATCCACGGATCTCTTTCACTGAGGGTCCTCTCTCACTGAAAGATCTCGAGCCGGTTGGTGGCGAGGCTACGTGGCGCGACCCCAGGTGGCGGATAGGGGGTAAATCGCGGACCAAAAGCCACCATGTACTTGCCCTGAGACGCAGGTGGATTCAGGGGATGGACTCCCTGTTTCTGTAGTGCTGTGTTGATTCATACCAGCTGTCTCCACTCAGGCGCATCCATGCATGCTTGCGTGTGTGGTGCGCTCTGTGTGTGTGCGGTTGGTATCCTGCATGTCGGCACAGCCAAAAGCTTGCATTCAAGTGACTGGGAAGTACATGGGAGGCGATTCGGGGCCGCCTCCAAGAAATAAGCCCCTTGTTCCGCTCCAGGATAGCGTGGCTAACTACCTGGAGGTCTATCCTAGCCCGCACGACAGAGCCTGGCAAGCTACTCGTGTGCCTTCAATATGCCGAAAACAGCAATATGGATGGGCCTCATTCCCCTGAACCTGAGGGAGCCCCCAATACGGCAGCGTTGGGTAGGACCGCTCGGGAGAGGCTGCTAGAATCTCAGGGCCCGGATAGGCTGCCTAAACGAAGAGGACTAAGATGGCGATCTGTACTTTCAACGCACGAACGCTTGCATCCGAAGCTCACATCGAAGATCTGATGATGCAGGCCAGGAAGATCAAGTACGACGTCATCGGACTGACCGAGACGAGAAGGCACCGCCCGCTACACGCCGTTTTCGATACTGGAGAAGAACTGTTCCTTGGAACATGCGACAGCAGAGGCGTTGGTGGTGTGGGTGTCCTCGTCAACACGCACTTGGCCATAAACATCGATTCGTACGAAAGCCTTACAACCCGAATCGGACGTTTGAGATTGAGAAGATGTGGTTCAACTCCTGCTTTGACAATCTTCGTCGCCTACGCACCAACATCCAGCTACGACGAAGAAGAACACGAAGCATTCTATATGAATTGGAGAAGTTCTACAGGGAAGATCATACCTTCTTCAAGGTCATCGTCGGCGACTTCAACGCTAAGATTGGCCCAAGAAGAACGGCTGAAGAACTTCACATCGGTACTCACGGAATGGAATGGAATGAGCAGGGTGAGAGACTGTCGGAGTTTATCATGTCGACCAACACCATCCATGGTAACTCACAGTTCCAAAAGCCCCCTCACCTTCGTTGGACTTGGGAGTCACCTGATGGACAGTTCCATAACGAGATAGACCACATCATCTTCAATCGAAGGTTTTGCCTGACCGACGTCGCTGTTGTTCCGAAGTTCTACACGGGATCGGACCATCGTCTCCTCCGCGCAAAGTTCACTTTTCGATGCGTGTTGAGAGAGCCTCGAAGTTCAGGAAGCGAAGCCCCAGGACAGTCATCAACTGGGATCACTTCGCTTCCCTCGTCAGCTTATGGGAGGATTCCGTCATCGAAAACATCGACGAGGAGTACTATCGGCTCGTTGAACATCTTCACGATTGTGGCAAGAAGGCAGAGAGTTTGAAAGTCACCAAGGGACGTCTGTCTCCGGAAACTCTCGAACTGATACGCCAGCGTGGAGCCGCACGAGCTGCAGGCAATCACCGACTCACGTCCGAGCTTGCGAAGCTATGCAGAGAGGCGATAAAGGAAGATCTCAAGGAGCGAAGAGCAGCAGTATTAGCTGAAGCAGCAGAGGCTGGGAGGAGCATCCGCAATGCCCGCCGAAGCTTTGCCAGCTACAAGACCAAGATGACCTGCCTCCGACGTCCGGATGGAACAGTTACTGCATCCCGAAGGGCAATGGAGAAAGTCATCCACGACTTCTACTCGGATCTCTTCGATAGCCATGTCCATCTGCCCACTTATCAACTGCAACAGGATGGATACGTCGTCCCCTCAGTTCTCTCTTCCGAAGTCCGACACGCCATCAAGTCGGTGAAGAATCGTACAGCACCCGGTCTCGACAGGGTCAAACCGGAACATCTGAAGAATGCGCCGCCAGTCATCATCAAAACTCTGGCTCGACTCTTCACGCGCTACCTGTCGGAATGCAAGGTACCCACTCCGTGGAAAACCAGCAGGACCGTGTTGCTGTACAAGAAGGGAGACTGGACGACATTGGCAACTATCGCCCAATCTGCCTGCTGTCTGTAATCTACAAGCTATTCACTCGAGTCATCCTTAACAGGATCGGCAGAATATTAGATGAAGGACAGCCATGCGAGCAAGCAGGGTTTCGAAGAGGGTTCAGCACGATCGACCATATCCACACGGTTACAAGACTCATTGAAGTTTCACGAGAGTACAAGATGCCGCTTTGTCTCACGTTCATCGACTTGAAGAAGGCCTTCGACTCTGTGGAGACAGAAGCGGTCATCGAAGCCTTGGGCAACCAGGGCGTCCCTACTCAGTACATCAAGATTCTTCGTGAGCTCTACAGCAACTTTACGACCAGAATCTCACCATTCTACAAGGAGGTCATCATCGACGTCAAGAGAGGGGTTCGACAGGGCGACACCATCTCGCCCAAACTCTTCAGCGCCGCTCTCGAGAACGTCATGCGTCAACTGGAATGGGAAGACATGGGAGTGAAGGTCGACGGCCGGCAACTACACCACCTTCGTTTTGCTGACGACATCGTTCTTATAACGCCGAACATCGAGCAAGCGGAGCGAATGCTGGCTGATTTCGACTGCGCCTGTGGTAAGGTTGGTCTACAGCTGAACCTAACGAAGACGATGTTTATGAGAAACGGATTGGTTCCTGATGCCCCATTCACGCTCAACGGAACGAACATCACCGAATGCTCCAGCTACGTGTACCTAGGTCGGGAAATCAATATGATGAACGATCTAGCTCCAGAGCTGAGCAGGAGGAAACGAGCGGCTTGGGGAGCGTACAAGAACATCGAGGGAGTAGTGAAGAAGACGAAGAACATCCGGCTCCGTGCCCACCTCTTCGATTCCGCTGTCCTTCCTGCCCTAACCTACGCCTCAGAGACTTGGACTCTGCGCAGGCAGGACGAGCATGCGGTCAGCGTTATCCAACGCGCTGTCGAGAGGACGATGCTAGGAGTAACCCTATACACGCAAGTGCAGAGGGGAATCCGGAGTGCCGAACTACGCCAACGATCGAAGATCAGGGACGCTGCCGTTTTCGCCAAGGAATCGAAGATAAGGTGGGCCGGACACGTCATGCGATTTTGCGATGACCGTTGGACCAGAGCGGTTACCGACTGGATCCCTCGGGACGTCAAACGAACACCTGGACGACCGCCGGCCCGATGGTCAGACTTCTTCACGAAAGCTCTGAACGAAAGGAATGAAGGACATCGTGTCCCTCGAGCGAGGAGGGTCCACTGGACAACTCTTGCACGCGACAGGGACGAATGGAGACGTTGCTGGCGCCCGCTCGAGCAATTCGATGATCAACGGGACGACAGGTGATACAGGTGATGAGAGAGATGGGATGTAGGTCGAGGTGTCGAAAAGAGGGGTCGTATCAAATTCACACTTGGGAGGGAGGGGGTCGTAAATTTTTTTCAGAAAGTAACAACGATAGGACCGACCCTGCCTGAGCCCCACCCAGCCCCGACACCCACTATAAATGGTTAGCAATTGCCGTATGAGCAAATACATGAGTACACTAGGACCGCCTTCTTGGGAGGGGGTCCCGCATCCTCATCCATTCCTTTCTAATTCAGCCCATCCTGGCTTGCAGTTTAGTAGCGATTTTCGAAAAGTTTGTCAATATTTTCAAAAATCGAATATGAAACCACGGAGATTTGAATGTGGGATTGGTCTACGTTTAATTTAGCGTTTTTTCGTGCCAAAAAAGTCATCCACCAACCATTCGACCCAAGAGCAAAGGAATTCTTGCCTGTCCTAGGCAGAGAGGTACCGACAAGGGGCCCGTCGCGCGGTCAGAACGGCAGGATGCAGACGTTCAGCGGACAAGCGCAGCCGCATACTGCACAGTAATTTTGCGGTCAAGAGTAAAGTAGGGTTATCCACAGTACGCCCACATATACTGCACGCGCTGTGACTCTCTGTGCTAACCCCTCTCTGCGTCTCTGCCTTCCTACCGCACGACGGACCTCTGTCGTGTACCCCTAGGCACAACCCGATCTACACATGTGCTACTCCGTTTCTATAGACGTTGCCTGCTTCAATTTTAGAAGGAACTGTCAATGTGATCATAAATGCAGCTTTTTTGAGGTATCCGCCTTTGGTTTTATGTGCAACTTCCTGTCATTTCTTATTTTGATCCGACATAAAGCCTTCAAAAATTCATTTGGTTATCTGGCAGCCTATGAATCGCTTTCCAATGCATTTGTTCTACTAATATTTCTATTATGGTCAACGCCATGGACTTTGCTGTCAGGTTTAATTCTTCTTTCTTACCCGTTCAGGTGCATTATTTTAAGTGTATGTGATTTCAGGAAGATACAATCGCACGTCGAAGGATTAATCTTTACTGATCGGAAACTTGTCTTTTTATTAATTGTCAGAGCGTCATTCCATTGCATCTTCTCTCACTATGAAATAGGTATATCACCCATAAATGCACAAAGCTGTTCCGTTTCCACAGAGATTTGAGACGAAAAGCTGATGTGCAGAATTGAACGCCGCTGGGACACTATGGCGCGCAGGCGCGTCATCATCTTGGTACCATGCTTTCCAAATGTCCGAGTTCTTTGAGAATTTTTTGATATTATTCTATAGGCAATACATTGTATTTCGTGACCTATGAAACGAGGTGTTGCGCGAAGGGTTAGATATGCTCTAGTTAAGCAAAAGTTTTTTGAATCCCACTGAATATCCAGTTCTCTTCGATCTGATAGATACTTCACTTTGCATTTTGCAAAAAAGAGTCTTTGCCAAAAACCTCCTCCCGAATAGCGTTGTGCCCTTGCCGTACTAATTCTCAATTTTGAATTCCGAAAGATGCCCTTTCATGGGACGAGGTGACGCGCATGCGCGTCACACAAAAATGGGCCCAACCAAATCGCTCACGGCCCACGCGGCAAAAAAGTCAAAACCTGCACTGTCGCTAATATGTATGTTACGCGCCCAACGTTCCCATGAAATGAATGGCGCCATTCTGCTCCTTGTCTAAACATCATTTTCGATTGATTTCAGTTGAACAGAACCGATGTACCTTCACTATTAAGACTTTTGCCTTTATAGGTTGGTAGCAGTGATGTTCCCTATGTTCTATCGAAGCATGTTCAGCGATCGGATCACTCCACTGCTTTTGCTGGCAATCTCGTTCATCTCATTACTTTACTTCGCTGTCTACTTCATGGGTATGTTTGATTTCGTCGGTTAATGTGTATTCATCACTGAACGTACCATTTTCAGACGGCTGCAGTTTCTACTACGATCACCAGTACAAGGTGTGGACCTTTGGCGTGGAGCAGTGCAGCCAGAAAATGGCCTTCTATATCGACATGTGTTACAATGTCTCAATCTTCGTGGTCATATGTGGCATTGATATGGTGGTATTCGTGCACCTGAGATCAGCAACAAAGGTAAGATATGAGTGTGTTGTTTGGCGCTATCGCAAGATACGGGGTCATAATGGTGGCAATTTCAAGAATGCGTAACACATGTCCTTTTTGCTAAAAACGAGACTAAGCTTTAGGAGGAAAAGGAGAGGCTCCACGGCGTCAGAAATTATCATTCTCCCTGGAATACCCCCCCCCTCGTAGGCTTGTGGTTAGCCTAAAGGATGCCCCTGTATATTGCGATAGCTCGGTTTATTGTCCCAATGCCTCATGGCGTTCGAATGTGCATCAACAGATTGAAGCTCTGATAGTTCTCCGAGTTTTTGAAATGGTCTCTTAATCTTCTGGAACTAACAACACTGGAAGCTTCAAACAGTTGTCTTTAGCAGGATCTTGACCACAATTTAAATTTGATGAAGCTCGTTTTGAGAGCAAAAAGCATGTATTCAGAAAATGATTGCACTTACTGGAACAGCGGCAGAAGCGCACAATAAGCGCCGGCTCAGGAAAGAAACGCGACTATCGTCAGAGGTCAGGTTTAATCTTCAAGTCGAAGCTGTGCGAACGCCAAAGGTTCATCTCTTCTCACAAAGCGAGATGCAATATATCGACGCTCGAAGAAGAAACTCCACGAAATATGTACTCCAAGAAAGGAAGTTTCTTCGTCACAAAGTTACTGAAGCAGTTCCCCCAGCCCTATCCCTCCATTAGGAGTGCGGGATGATGCCGTTTGTTAGCGAAAAACGTACGCCTTCTAGCGATTCCTTGGCGCGTACAGCGAGCTCGCGACTCTGCCGCCGCCTATCCTCGGTCGTCGCCGATGGCTAGAACTTCGAAAGTGGACTTTAACCCTTTCCGGACCGCCTGACACACATGGTGTGTCAGGAACTTCAAGAGCTGATTTTTCCAAGAGTTTGGTTTTTCGATAAAATATTTTATGTTGTTACATACCTATGTAACAGACTCATGCCATATGTATGAAAAAACCTAGACTTTAGGTTTAATCTAGGTTCTAAAATAACCAAAGAGTAAATGGACTTCCACTTTGGGCTCAAAGAAAACAGTTGTAGTTCGCTTGAAAACACTTAAAAACGAAGAATTTGTGAAATATCCTGCTCGTCGTATCTGATTCTTATGGATCCAATCGTTTTGGGCACGTTCTACTCCCTTTTTCTCCATACCAACTTATTTTGAACAATTTTCGTCCCTTCCTCCCTTTTTATGGCCCTTTCCCTTTTTTTGCAAAACAGTTTTCTGTCAAATTAATCTTATATATTCTTCGAGACATGACAAAGACATAAACGAGACAAAATAATGGCTTTAGTGGGAATACAGATTAAATATATGATATTTATGCTTGCCGCGCAGCATGCGGCCGTGAGCGCAAAAAGTGCGCGGTCCGGAAAGGGTTAAGCAAAAATGAGGAAAATCAATTCTATTTGGAGTGCATTTATCATTCTCTATGTAGCTGCAGCCCCTACACCGCATCCATGTTGCCTTTTCACTCACCTTGGAACCACACAAGTTGAGAACCTTTCGTCATAATGAGCATGCAACTAGAAGGCAGTGCTCCTGAAGTCCCGCAACATTCTTGGTCACAAAGATATATTCTTGGAAGTCACGTGCCATAGTAAACTTTACGATTACCTCCAGGGGTCGTATGCAACAAGCCCCGCACGAGTTTTGGGTGAGGGGATATATCCCCTCGGCCCGTATGCAACAAGCCCCGCTGCTGGCGAGGGGATATATCCCCTCGGCCGTATGCAACAAGCCCCGCTGCACTGACGGGAGGTATCCCCTCGTCGTATGCAACAAGCCCCGCAGCACTGAGAGATATAGTCTTCCGGCTTTTGCAATACGATGAGAGGGGACGATTCCCTACCTCGAAATTGGGAGATTCATACCCCGGCTTCGGTCAGTTGGACTTTCGACGCGTTAGCGTCGTGGTCGAGCTGACCTCGGGATGTCGGTGATGAAGTTCCCATACGGAGCAAACCCTGCCAGTTAGGATTGTCCTTTTTCTTCTTCTTTGTGACGCTCACTTATAAGGATAATTCCAACTCAACGTTTATTATTTTGGCGCACTTTGATTTTGCAATATTCTCGCTTCGAAAAAAGGAAACGGCTTCTGTAGAAGAAAACCCTTAGTGTTCGCTCATAATCAGCACCTCATAGCATTTCGTGGCATAGACGCATGTCTCTCTCTCGAGAGCTCCCTCGTGGCTTCCTTCGAAGGTCGACGGACTACTTGAACCCAGCCCTTCGAACCCCCTCTGCGCTCTCTCGCGGGTCCCTCTCTTCTCTAAGGCTTAGTCCTAGGACATTCACCCGTTCTCTAATCGTCTGTGCTCTAGAGCCGTCGCGGCAGGATTAAGGCATTAACCACAAGGTGAATTTGTGAAAAAGTATGGTTGGCCTGAGAATTTGGATGAAATCATCATTAAAAAAAAGAAAGCGGAATCAAACGGATCAAGACTGAACTACAGTGCAAATGGGAACACAATGCTTTATCACCGAAATCCCGAAGCTCGACCGCGACGCTAACGCGTCGAAAGTCCAACTGACCGAAGCCGGGATGAATCCCCCTAGTCGAGAGTAGGGGGATTCGTCCCCCTCCCTCAGTCGTATGCAACAAGCCCCGAGGGGATATATCCCCTCAGTGCAGCGGGGCTTGTTGCATACGACCGAGGGGATATATCCCCTCGCCAGCAGCGGGCTTGTTGCATACAGGGCCCAGAACCAGAAAGATATACTTGTTAGGGTGCATTCAGCTTACTCTTCGCAAGATGGTGCAAAAAAAAAATACCGCACAAAACATAAGGTGAAACAATGGTTCACGGAGCTTTTGTCTGGTAATGAGGAAGAAAACGGGATCATATGATCCAAAATTAATTCTTGAGATTAGATGGGAGACTAGGCTTTAAACTTGATGTAAATGGCATACTTCTCATTTTGCTTGGTCCGAATTCCATATTCAGCAGAAACCTATTCAGAAATTCATCTCTTATTCCCTCATGACTTTGCAGTTAGGAAAAGCAGCTGTTCTCAACAAGTGCACGGTCGGTGTGCAGCTCAATGGCCGCTATCTCGTAAGTTTCGCTTCCGCTAGGTATTGACAACGGTTGAAGCGACGAATCTTCGCGTTTCGTTGGCGAATGATGCATCTCTTGATGTTGACCTTGGCTGGACATTTATTGTTTCATTTCTTTTCGATTTGAATAAACAAAGTAAATCGATAAATAATTAAGTAGAACTAATAGACAATTGCTAAAGCATGAATGGGTATCAAAATACAACTCGTTTTTAGTCATTCCTGAGCTCCTGCATGTATTCGTTTATGCTTCTCTGTTTTCACCTGATAACAAGAGTGATATCAAGTGGATTTGGTCTATTCATGTGTACTACGTTCATATGGGCGTTTTCTCACGCCATTGGAGGGTAAGCCTTTTTAGGTTCGGAAATGTTTGAAAGTTCAATGGGATTATTTTATCCACACATCACCGATTCTAAGGCTACATGCCTTGGTTAAATACGACAGTTTCGCAGACGCTATGACACTCCTGGGCTCTGAATCGTATCAAAATCATTGATGCTGTAACCCTATAAGTCACACTGAGTTGCTCTTAACACCATAAGGTGATAAGGACAGCGATTATCGTCAGAGAGAAGCGCATCGTGGTCGGGGATGTAGCGCTACGCATCCAAGCAACGGAGTTCGGGCCGCAAGTAAGCGCGGGTGTACGCTTGGTGAGTGAAGTGCCGCTGCGATGAGCACCCTTGAAGCGCGCATGTCCCGAGCTCTCACACCACTAGTTCATGTCTGTCGATCTTTGGGCGGCCTTGTGCCAACCGGGCATAATGAACCACCAAACGCGTTGCGGTAAACTCGTCCATACGTCCGCTGTCTTAGCCGATGCCCCTCCATGGGCGAAAATCACCGTTTAAACAAGGAAGTTCTGCCTTGCGCTTTCTTGGCGATTTCTCTGCTTTTTCGGGCTTTACAAGCAATATCGAACTTGTTCCTCTGGAAAATTAATTGAATGTGCGGAGTGGACCCCAAAGAAATGAAGCATAAGGAACTACAGAAGACACTGAGGATAAGAAATCCTCTCGCGAGAGGGCACATTGCATGGGAGGGGGCAGACACTACTGTACGTATACTGCGAGAACTAGAAATGGTAGCAGTCGTAAGAGCAAGGCCTTAACGCCCTTTCGCACATTTAAGGTCAGTTAGGTTGGGGCAGTGCCCGACTTATGTGCTTGGGGACCGTGCTACCGTACAAAGAGACCGTGCCACCGTACAAAGAGAACGTTCTATTCGTGACTCTTGGATGAATAATAGTGAGTGGACCATAAAAGACTAGCAGTTCTGAAGAGAGAAGTCAGGTTTCAATTGCAAAAGCTCAATAGATGGGTACGAAATTGTCCGTTTTTCAGGTTGATTCTGATATGCTTCAATCCCGAGATTCGGAGGCATCTTGTGGGTATTCGACATTTCCTCAACTTCCTCAAGGACCCCGTCACTGTGTCCTTGATTAGACCTCAGCATACGCACACATTATTCACTGTATCACAAAAATAAAGTTATAACTTGTCACATTTGAATTCTTCATGACAATAGATATGTATGTATGTGTGAATGTGTGGGTAACCTCATTACTCCAGCAAAAGAAAAGCATCGAAATATTGAATGTTTATGCTTGCTATGACTGACAAGCAACAGACAAACAACGACAACAACAAACGCGAATTCGTACGAAACATGAGTTCCTATGTCAATCTTCATCATGGAGTTGCATCGTCCTGCTATGAATTCTTACGGATTCGCAATGACAGCAAGACGAGGCCAGTATCACAGCGAAACAAGATGTCCGGGCCAACGGTGGCGTGGCCCAATCCTTTCTAGGATACGGTCGCATCTGCGGAAAATTACTGTAGGGAGATAAAAAGAAAAGAAGTGACATCCCTGACCACATCTACGTTG